GGCTCCGGCTCCGCGCTCCGCGCTCCTCGCCGCCCGGCGAGTCCCAGCGCCCAGCGCTGCCTCCTCCTCCCACCGCAGCCTGAGGGCGGGGCCGGCGGGTGGGGCGAAGGCTGGGCCGAAGCCCCGCCTGCCGGTCCCGCGGAGTCGCGCTGGCCAACCCTCCTCCCCGCTCCCCCTCCGCGCTCCGGGCTCCCCGGGGCTGGTCTCGGGGCGCGCACACGCTCACAAAACAGGCGCGCACACCGGCGCGCACACTCTGCAGTGATTGGGGCACGCTTCACGTCCCGCCGGTCTCTCGCTGCGTGGCATGGGGCAAGGGTCTGTACCTCCCCAAGCCTCAGTTTCCCTTTGTGAAATGGAGACGGTAACCTTGTCTGCCCCAGAAAGTTGTTTAAGAATCAGATGAAACGATCCGGGCCAGGCAAAGAGCGCGCGCAGAGCCTGGCACGGGAGAAGCCCTCTATAAACCGGAACTCTCAGGGTGATAAGTGAGGCTTCCAATCCTCCCACATGAAAAGAACAGGGAGGCCCGATGAGTGTCTGCGGGGACTCTCTTCTCTCGGTAGCCAGGAGGGGGCGCTGATGCCCAGTCTCACCGACTTTGGGATCTCGAGAAGGGTAGGCGACGGGGAGGTAACTTGAAACCCTGCTAGTCAGGTCCGACCTTTTAAGACCATCTGTCACTTATTGGGGAAGCCCTGGTGGCATAGTGGTTAAGAACTATGGCTGCTAACCAAAAGGTCGGCAGTTTGAATCCACCAGGCACTCCTTGGAAACCCTACGGGGCAGTTCTACTCTGTTCCATACGGTCACTATGAGTTGGAATTGATTCAACAATGGGTTTGGTTTGGTTTTTATCACTTATTGGGAGCCCTGGTGGCACACTGGTTAAGCATGTGGCTGTTAACCAAAAGGTCGGCAGTTCGAATCCACCTATGGAAACCCTATGGGGCTGTTGTATTCTGTCCTATAGGGTCACTATGAGTCGGAATCGACTCAATGGCAATGGGTTTGGTTTTTTGGTTATCATTTATTCGGCACTCACTATGTGCCAGGAACTGTTCTAGGCACCCTGTATGCGTTACTTTACTTTCCCCCAAGCCTATTATCACCTACTTTACACATAAGGAGGCTGAGGCACTGAGAGGTTAAGTAACTCACTTAAGATCACACAGCTAATAATTCAACCCAAGGCAACATCGTTCCCAAGCCCAAATTCATGGACACCTCACCACACCTGTCCTGGGAAGAGATTTTTGTTTTGTTCAGTGGTGTATCTCGAGGACCTAGAACAGTGTCTGGTACATGTTGTGTGCCATCAATTCTGATTCATAGCGACCCTATATGACAGAGTAGAACTGGCACATAGTGGGACACTATACGTATTTGTTGAGTGAGTTATCCAGTTATATAGTGCTGCTGTAACAGATACACCACAAGTGTATGGCTTTAACAAACATATTTATTTTTCTCACAGTTTAGAAGGCTAGAAGTCAGAATTCAGGACACCACCTCTAGGGGAAGGCTTTCTCTGTCGGCTTTGGGGGAAAGTTATTGTCTCCTTTTAACATCTGTGGGCCCAGCATCCCTTGGAGATCTCCAAGTGTCTTGGCATCAATCTTCCCTTGGGTCTAGGAGGTTCTCGGCACAGGGATCCCAGGTCCAAAGGAGGCGCTCCGCTCTCTGCTCTTCTTTCTTGGTGGTACTCAGGTCCTTTGGCTTTGGGTGGTCCCATTCTCCTAATCCATCTGAGTGGTGACCCTACCCACCTTGGCCCTGGCAGGCCCCATTCTTCTGCCCTTTGGGTATGGCAGCCCCACCCCCTCAGCTTTGGGCAGCAGATCCAGCCCTATCCCCCCTGGCATTCATGAACAGCAGTCCCACACTCTGGAACGAAGTCGGTGAATATCTGACTCTTTGAAACCTAGGAGGCTGTGGCCCCACCCTTTGACATCCCACTGCTGTCGATTTTAGACTCCTAGTGACCCTACAGGACAGCACAGAACTACCCCGCAGGGTTTCCAAGGATGTAACCTTTATGGGAGTAGACCACCACATCTTTCTCCCAGGGAGTGACTGGTGGGTTCAAACCACTGACCTTTTAGTTAGCAGCTGAGCACTTTAACCACTGTGCCACTAAGGCTCCCTACTATGCACTAGTTTACATATATTATTTCATTTAATCTTACCATTCCTTTTATTAAGCTACTACTGTTATCCCCATTTTACAGATAACAAAATTGAGGCTTAGAGTGACTAAGTACTTGGGGGCTCTTGATTATCTCCCTGTGACTGTGTTCACTGTTCACTGGGCCACTCCTCTGGTCCAGAGCTGAATGGGCTCCCTGCCTATGGCCCTCAAAGCCTCCACCTGACCCGGACTGCCCAGTAGACAGACCAAATGCATGCTTGCTTTGGGCACCAGCATGAAAGAGTTGGATATTTGATAAAAAAGCATATGGACAAAAACAACGTTGTAGGAATTCCTTACACTCGTGGTTCAATATTGCTTTTATTTTGAATTACATCTGGTAGGTGGACACCATAACCTTTCCCAAGCTAAGCCATCTGAAAATCTTAATCCATCTAGGGCATGGGCCAGCCTCTCCAGTGCACCATCCCCCCACCCCCACCCCATAAGCCACTCACCCTCCACTGTCACACCTCTGTGCCTTTGCTCACACTGTCCCCCCTGCCAGGAATTCTGTTCCCCCAGCATTATCTCCCATCATCCTTCTAGGCCCAGCACCAATAGTTCCTTCCCTAGGAAGCCTTCCCAGATGCCCCTGGAGGTGCCTTGTATTTGCATCTTCCTATCCTGTGACACGGTGGTTGGTGGCTGGCACTGTTTGGGGGAAAGGCTGGTTTTCCTGTGGGGGCCATGTGCATATAGACAGAGGGGTTAGAAGGGATACCCATTGCAGGCGTCTGCATTAGACGCACCCCAGGACCCTTCACAGGGTTGCTGAATTTGTGTGTGTGTGGGTGGGGGTGGGGGGCAAAGAGGGATTCATCAGCCAGCAGAAACTGACACACACTCCACTGTGCTTCCTTTGAGAACACAGTCCCCTGCCCCTCCGCCATCCCTTGCTTAGGAGGAAGGAAACCCAGAGCAGAGCGGGGATAACCTGCCAAGGGACTCCTAACTAGGAAGCCACACAGCAGGTCTGGCTCCAAAGCTGGGCCCATCTGCCACTATCTTCTATTGGCCCTTATTGCTGATTGGGATGGGGCAGGAAACCGGCTCCTTCTTTCGGGTGCATCAACATGGCCAGCTTTGTTTAACCTGCCATGTGTGGGCACTTGTGCATGACCAGAACACGAGCGTGCGTATGAGAGGGTGGTGAGTTCTCCACCCCCCCGCCTCACATGGAGTTTTCTGTACAATACGGAATGAGGGGTCAGACAGGGCCTGTGAGGTGAGTTTCCGTGTATGGGGCATGGAGCCAGATTTCAGAGAGCTTCCTTCTGTCTAAAATGGCCCCCAGTCCCGGTATCCCGTCCCCACTCCCATCCCCATCCGAGCTTGCCTGCATACCTCTAGAGATAGGGAACTCGCCACTGTGTGCTAACCATCCACAGCTGCCTCCCTAAAACTTGCAGGTCTCTCCCCTCACCCACCCTGCAGGTTCACTGCATCGTCCTTTCTCCAGGACCAAGGCCTCAATCCTCCCCACAGGGATGGGCTTCACAGCCCTATCTCCTTTGGGTACCCAAAGTGTCAGAAAGGACTACAAGGGGGCGGGACCCCCTCCAGGGCCTCTTGCAAATTGGAGATGCTCCCGCCCCAAGGTTGGGGGACCACAGCCCTGAACACAGGAATTCCGTGGGAATGAGTATGCACATCTCACATGGTAGGGTGGCCCTCCAAAGAGCCCCCTCCTTCTTCCACCTGTGACTTGTCCCTTTATTCCTGGGATGTCGCCTGAGGCAGAGGTTGCCTGAGTAGCGCCTTTCCCCTCTGCCTGTGGCTCCCCATCTATAAAGCAGAGGCTTTGTGTCTGGGGGAGGGATGTTTTGAGCATGAGGTTCCATCCCCTGGGGTAGGAAGGTGGGGCCGAGAGGGATCAGGTCCCCTGCCAAGAACAGCCCCTGGGGATGGGGGCAACAGCTGTGGTGCAGGGCCAGGAACCTGACACCAGGGTGGGCCCCAAACGCCCTCCAGGAAAAGCAGGGGGAGGGTGGGCAGGCTCCTGAAGAGCAGCCACAGCTTCAGGCAGCCTCAGACTTTCTCAGGGTGTGACCCCTCCCCCACGAGTCCCTGCTACATCCTCGCTCCCACGTGGATGTCCACCTTTCCTTGGACAACAGCACTGCAGTTCCACCTTGGGGTGACGGTTAAGTTTTCCTCTCATTTTCCTTTGCCCCATGGGCCCGCCACCAACCCTGAGGCTGACCCCTGCCCTTCCCCTTGGGCCCCTGGGGGAGGCATTCCAGGCTCCAGCCAGGTGAGCTGGGGGGTCCCTCCCTGGTTCTATAGTCAGGGCCCTGGGGTTTGAGTGTAGCTCAGCAACTCAGTGGCTGTGTGACATCTGGCAGGTTAGTTAACCTCTGTGAGCCTTGGTCTCCTCTATGAACCCGGTTGGCCTGGGGTGAGTGGTGCTGCAGGACTGACTCCCTGTCCTGGGGTTTCCACTCTCCTGGTCTATCAGGCCACTCCAACCCCAGAAGAGGCTCTGAGCACAGGGCCTGGCAATCGCTGAAGAAAGCTACTCAGGTGATTCTGAAGCGCAGCCAGGCCGGGAACACAGTGCTGGGTCAACTGTAAAGCACCCCCACGCCCCACCCCAGTAGGGGAAGGGAGAGGTCTTGTCACCTACCTCTGGGCAGTGTCTCCTCTGCCTGGTGGTGGTGGTCGCAGGAGGAAGGGGGAGAGGGTGAAGGAGGGGAGAAGAAAAGTGGGGAGGAGCAGGGGGAAGGTGAGAAGGGGGATGTTATTGTGTGCTGTCCAGTTGATTCTGACTTACAGCGACTACAGGACAGGGTGGAACTGGCCCACAGGGTTTCCTAGCCTGTAAAGATTTCCCGGAGCAGACTGACAGGTCTTCTGTCCTTCCGAGCCTCTGGGTGAGTTTGAACTGGGACAGGAGGGGAGAAAGGCAGGAGTGGAAGGGGAGGGGAGACTAGGTGAGGGAAGGCAGAGAGGGAGGAAGGGAAGGAGAAGGGAAAAAGAAGCAAGGAGGGTCAGAGCAGGAAGGGGCAGAAGAAAAAAGAGTAGGAAGGGGAGAAGGAGGAGGAAGGTGCAGTTCACAGGAAAACACAGCAGCCCCGATGCCCACTGCCCATTGTTTTGCTAAGGAGGGGTCTGAGCTTCAAGGCTGGGGTTAGAGTAACCACCCTGGGCCAGTCTCCCTGGAGCCTTGAGCCTTCTCTAGGTCTCAGGCCTGCTGAGCCAGGCACAGCTCAGCACTGGATCATCCTCTTTAACCCTCCTGAGAGCCCTGAGACTTGAGCCCTTGTCAGTCACTGGATGATGGTCCTGAGGGTTATAGCACTCAGCCTACCAGGGGTGCAGCCAGGACCCCCCAGGACGCTCTCCCACCACCATCAGGCCTCATGGGTGCAGGTTTGTGGTAGAAGGGCCTCAGCATGTGGGAAAAAAAAAGTTTTGTAAAAATGAGAGACAGTCAAGCCCCAGAGTGGGGCATTTAGGGGAAATGGGGGCTCTGGGGCCAGCCAGGAGCCCATGTGAATGTGGGAGAAAGGAGCTCTGTGTGTGCCCACCCCAGGGCTGTGTGGGGGGCACAGTGTGGGGGTAGTGGGCACCTGGTGTGCCAACATCTCAAGCTCACACCTGTGGGTGACAGAAGGGGCTAGAGACCAGCCAGGGCTACTGAAGGGCCTGTCCCTTTTCCCCGGTCAGAGCTAGGAGGTTCAAGGGCATTTCACCTAATCCTGGGTGGTTTGCCAGAGAAAGGAGGTTTCTATGTGAGGCCCCCACCCCCAACCCAGTCCTTTATACCAGAGAGCCAAGCCCAAGGCTATACCAGACAATCACAGGCTTTGCTGAGAAATGAGTTACCAAAATCACTTGCACAAACTTGACCCCCTGCAGGGGTAGGAGAAGCCTGTCTGCTGAGGAAGGACCCAGAAGGGCCCAGAAGAACCAAAACTGGATCGGGGACACGAAAGCCCCAGTTCCTGCATACGGTGGGTGCTATACTGAGCCAAGCCTGAATTGGCTACAGGCTGCAGCACTGTTCCGCGTACCACCTCTTCCCTCTCCTTGCCCCAGCCTGTGAGGCTGGCAGTAGAAGACCAGAGAGAGATGGCTGCTCCAGGGCTCTCTGCTCAATCCCCACACAAAGTTCCCTTTGGTGGGGGGTAGGGGACTTTTCCCTGCAAACTCCCCAAAACAGGCTGGAGTAGAAAGGAGGGCATAGGCACAAGGCTTGGGAAACAGGCGTCAGGTACCCAGGGGGCCAGGCCTGGCACACTGTCCCCGCCAGCACTGGGGAGGAGCTGCCACACAGAAAGGCAGAAACCCTAAAGTGCAGGGCTCAGCTCCATGGGAACCAGGAGGGAGGATGGTCCTGCAGACACACCCACAGAAACAGCAGCCACAGATGTCCCAGGCTGGGAAGGCCCTAGAGGTGGGACACCTTGTGCCCTGGGACCATCTGGGAACAATTGGTTACTGAGAACTATTTAAGTTCTAAAACTTGTGAACTTTTCCAGTGTTTACATGTTTTACATAGATATAACTTAAGAGAATTTTCAAGATTATCCTATGAAGATAGCACTCTTGCTGGCCTGCATAGTAAAGTGCTCTGTGGGAGAGGTGAGAAAGAGGTGGCATCTCTGGGTATGTGTCCACAAAGAGGTAGCCCAAGCAGAGGCTTCACAGCAGACAATGTCCCAACAGGGGCACCTGATGCCCAGAGAGAGGAAGCACTTGCCCAGGGTGACAGGTGAGAAGGCTCCCTGGGGCTGGACCCCTGGTCCATGCCTGCCCTTAGTGGGCCTGCCAGCCAAATGTGAGAAAGGGCTCTGAGGAGTGCAAGTGGCCAAGTCAGGCCTCCACCTCACCCTCGCCCTCGTCCTCGCTGCCACAGCCCTCGGGCACTGCTCGGCCCCGGAAGGCTTGGGTCTCCAAGTATTCAGCCTTGAGCCGCTCCAGCTCCCGCAGCTCAGCCTCCAGCCGCTCCCGGTGGGCCGTCCGCAGCTGCTGCAGCTGCTTCATGCGAAAGGGGTTCATGTCGTTGAAGGCGATGCTCATCAGCTTCCTGTGGGGAGGGCAGCCAGCTGGAGCAGTGTCCCACCCAGCTTGGGTTCATCTCACCTTCCCAAACACCCCTGCATTTATTCTGCCAACGTGGCTGAGGACCTTGAGGGTCATGCCCAGAGCCCTGGCCCCACCCTCAGGGAGCCCGCCTTCTGGGGGTTAACAATGAGAAAAGAGACAGTTTCCACCCAGGGTGATATGTACTGAGGCAGGAGGAAGCTCAGGGCTGTCCAAGATCATAAGAAGGGCACCTAACCCAGGAAGGAAGGGTTGATCAAGGAAGACTTCCTGGAGGAGGCAACATGTGAGCTAAATTTTGAGGAATGGCTAGAATTTAGACAGGAAGAGAAGATCCTGGTGGTGAGTGAAAGGGCCAAGGGGCAAGGAATATTTAAGTAAAAGAAATTGTAAGGGTAAAAACTCAGGGGTGGGGATTATTCTAGGAACTCAAATGGTTGTTTGGCAGCATTGTGGGGCACGAATGTTGGGGGCAAGGGAAGGTGGGCAAGAACTGAAACTGCATGGCGGCCTCACACGCTGTGTTAGGGGACAGCTGGACCACTAAGGCAGTGGGCTTCCCTAAGGATTTCTAAGCTGTAATGGGGGTAGTATCACTAACAAGCCTCCGCTTGGCAAATATCAGCCTAGCCTCCACTATGTGTTCTGGGGCTTGAGTGGGTGGTGGGCGTGGCGGAGTGGGCAGTGGAGGGGGCAGTGGTGGATTCTCACCGGCTGTTGCCAATGGTCTTGGTGAAGAAGCGCAGGTACTGGTAGATTTCCAGGCCATCCTGCAGCCTCAGGATCTCCTCCTCGTTGTACTTGAAAATGGCCAAGGCATAGCGGAACACCACCTGAGGGGCAAACTGGGGCTCAGGTAGACATGGGGGCCAGGGCAGGCAATCAACCAAGGGAGGAAAACCACGGACCTAGGCACTGTGGGGAGCCGCTGGGCAGGCTGCAGAGGTATGTGGGTGGAGGGAGGTCACCGGGGGTGGTGGGATACCCCATGGGGGCAGGTCAACACTGAGCTTGGAATCTGGGGATCTGGACGTGAGTCCCAGGTCTGCCCTCACTTGTCCGTGACCTTGGGCGAGGTGTTGCCTTTGTTGGACCGAATGGGGTAACACCACGTCTTTACATGGGGCTTTGGCAGGAATCAAATGAAATGGCAGATCTGAAGGTGCCCTATAAACTATAAGGGGCAATATTAAGCTACAGTGGGGAAATGGGTTGGGATGCAGGGAAGGGCCTGTCCAGGGTCTCCCAGCAAGGTCAGTGGCAGAGCTGGGCCGAGAACCTTAGCTCTAGCTGCCCAGTTCAGAGTACAGTGTAAACAGGAGGAGAAGGAGGTGCCCAGACGGCTGGAGGGGCAATGGATGGGACAGGGATGTGCCTCCTGATCAGGCTCATGCCATCTCCCCAGCCTGAGGAAGCAACCTTCAGAGGCAGCACCACCACTTCCCCTCATGTACACAAAGCACTTTACAGTTTACAGAGCCATGTTCTCAGGAACCGCCCTCCACAGCCCTGACAGGTGAGCACTGTCTTCCCATTCTCCAGGGGCAGAATGGAGGCCACCGCTTGGCAGCACCCTACCTTGGTCCCCTCATACAGGAAGGCATCCCAGACCCGGAGGAGGATGTCACTGATGAGACTGTCAGCAAAGACCACGAGGAACCAGTTAAAGGTGATGAGGGAGAGGTCCACGTGGTGCTGCCCCAGGTGGGCCATCAGCCTGGGCATCTTCTCCGAGAGGAGGTCCTGGAGCACCCGCTGGTCCACCTGAAGCAGGCGAGAGGGCCTGTCACCTGCTGCCTCCTTCCCACTCTCCCCTTCACATCCAGTCACTCAATCCTGGAGCTGCTCTGAGTGTGTCCTGCCCTGCTCAGCAGGCACCGGGCTCTTAGAAAACCTGGACCCCAGCCGGCTGGGAGACAGACACACTGGCACATCACTCCAGCCACTCCAACACAGGCAAGCAATCACCTTCACTGGAAGGACCGGACTTTCAAACGGAGGTGTCTGTGGGCTGGCAAGCTGTCAGCCAGTGGAGCTTTGACCCCTCAAGGCAAGCAGAGCTCAGGGCCAGCCTGTTCCTCGTAGCAGTTGAGAAACTGGTCTTGTGTACAAAGGCCCTGGGAGACATGGCAGCTTTGTTTCTGCTTCTCTACCTCCCTTTGGGCCTGGCACACAAGTACTGCAGAAGATGCTGGAGTGAGGCCGGGGGGTGGGTGATGCGGGGCCACACAGCACATCAGGAATCTTCCAAAAGCAGGAGGCTGCTGGACGATAGCTGCCAGGGACTCTCTGCATGGCCACTGTCCTTGTTTCACTTGACCTTGTTGGTTACTCCCAGCACTGGCTCCTTCTTTGGCTCCAAGTCACGGTTCTTTTGTGCTTTTCCTTCTACCTCTGTGACGATCCCATTTTAATCTCTCCTTGCTCCTCCTTTGCTAGAACTGCTGGCTTCCCAGACCTCTCCTTCCATTTTAGTCCTCTTCCAAGCTTTAGCCGTCAGCTGTGGTAAACACCCAGTAGCTCCTCTCCCTTCGTCCCTCACCCAGAACCCCAGCTCAGCTGTGGAGGCCAAGTGCCCAGGTCAGACCTAAGGCAAGCCACTGAACCTAAGATGCCTACTGAAGGATTTACGGATGAACTGATACGATGTCTGAGACTGACTTGAAGATAATCAGAGGAAGAGTAGTGGGTGGGAGTAGAGCTGAAACAAGACTGGGCAGGTGTTGAGAATTATTGAGACTGGGTGATGGTTACATGGAGGCTCATTACACAGTGAAACCTGTGAGAGCCAGAACACAATGGGACTGCCTTGTTTTTTTGGGTCTTGCAAGTCTTCTGCCTTTGACAGGGTGCAGGCTTACCACTTTTCTATCACTCTGTATTAGTGGTAAACATTTGAGTTTTCCTTTTCTGACAGGATTCTGCCTTACACAGGTTCTGGCTTTTGCAGGTTTTACTGTACTACTTTTTGTACTTCTTGTACGTTTGAAGTTTTCCATAATAAAAAAATATGGAAGAAAAAATAAAACACTGATTGTACAACACACCTCAATTTCAAACATGTTAAACCATAAGAAGAAGGACAAAAAAAGGTACATTTCCCAGTCTGCCTGCAACTAGAGGTGGCCATGTGATCTAGCTGTAAGCAATAAGAAAGGAGAAATCGCTGCACAGGGGAAAGCTATTTGGGAGGGAGCCAGCTCGGCTGGTGTGTGCTTCCTGCCTTTTACCCTTCTGCTTTTCCTGGCCTAGACCATGGCCACAGTGCTGGAGGTGGTGCAGCCCTCTTGTGACCACGAGGTGAGGAGCATAAGGATGAAAGCCACACACCAGAACAGCACAGTAGAGAGCTAGAAGCCTGGTCCCTGATGGCATCAAGGAGCTCTGGACTGCCCGTTCTCAGCCCTATCGTTGTCTGAAAAAAACATTCCCCATTTAAGCCACTGTTAGGTTGGGTTTTCCTCTCCATGAAGCCAAACACAATCCTTAACTGACTTACTGCCTATTTGCTGGGGACTCCAAAGTTTTGATGTGCAGTCCTGACCTCTCTCCTCAGCTCCACACCTGAACATCCACTGTCCCCTGACCTGCCCACCCAGGCGGGAGACCCAGGAGAAGGAGTTTGCCTTAGACAAAGGATTACCCTGCCTCCACTGCAGTAGGGCAGGACGAGAGAAGGACGGGTAGGGAGGCAATGGCTTGCTAGGTTCAGGGTGTGGGGAGCGAGAAAGTCCCCTTCAGGTGGCCTATCTCTGTAAAGCAGAGGCCCTGACCTGCAAGAATGGGTGGGGGCGGGGGCGGGGGAGCAACTGGAGAGTGGAGATGGGAGGGTTTAAATGTTCTCACATCTACACCTCTCAACAAGCCTGTGAAGCAACTTTATTCCTATGCAAAAGCAGACAAGGCTGGGGTTCAGAGAGGTGGTGTCACTTGCTAAGGTCACATGGCCACTTAGTGGAGGGATTGGGCTCTGAGCCTAGCTCTACCTGACTCCAGGGCTGGCTTGTGCTCAGAGAGGCTGGTAATGTGATGAAGGAGGCAGCTGTGTTTCTCAGTGGACAGTGACGAGGGTGTGTGAAGAGCTATCATCAACACCTCCCCTCCTCCCAGCCCCATCGACCATCCTACACAGCCTCTGTTTTGAAATTTCTGGGTGGCAAACAGCAAGTGACACTAGATTTTTTTCTCCTCTCCTCCCCAGAAAACCAACTATTTCTAATTATACAATGTCACTGCTGGAATAACAGCAGTTTATTCCATGGGCAGGGCCCTAACCATTCTAAAGGCCATCAGCTCACCAGAACCTCCCAGCAGTTCCAGGGAGGTTACTGGCCCTTCTTACAGAAGGAAGAATGGAGGTCTGAAAGATCCCTGACTTTTCTGAAGTTCACCAGCTTGTAGGAACAAGTCAGGGGAACTGACCTGCACGGTGCCCTACTCACCTGAGACGCTGTCAGCGTCTTGCTGTAGTAGTCAGATGGCAGGATGGTCTCCACGATGGCCACCAGGCACCAGAAGGCACTCTCCTCCTCCTCCAGGATCAGCAGAGCAATGGCCGCCAGCCTGAGTGGGAGGGAAGGAGGCCTGAAGTGATCAGACTTGTGTTCCTGTCCCTCGGGTGAAATGGACACTCTTTTGGGGAGGAGTTCTTAGGTGATTTCCAGAGCCTCAATTTCTCAACTGGAAAATGGGGATCATTTCAGAGCAGGGGCTCTGGAGTCACGTTGCCCGGGTGTGAATCCTGGTCCTGGTGTTTCCTTGCGGCGATCTTGGGCAAGTTACTTAAGCTCTCTGAGCCTCAGTCTCCTCATAATAATCACTCTTGTGAGGAAGAACAGAGTGAACACACGTTTAAAGCCCAGCGCAGTACCTGGCATGTAGTGAGCTCATTATAAATGTTGACTATCCTCATCTTAATATTCAATGTCTTCAACGGACTACTGGCCTCTCAAGATGCTAGGTGAACACAAGGTCCCATATTCAAAGATACCTGGGGAACACTGCATACTCTGGTCCCCTCTTGGAGGCTTGTGATGCACATTATCTTAGTAAAGCCTCTGAGAAATCCTGCAGAAAAATCCCATGCTCTAGCTCAGGGGTGCCCAGTCAGGCCGTGGAGCCCCTTTCATGCATTACACCCATGTGACCCTCAGACACAGTTAGGGAGATGTCACTCTACAGCATTCTGAAGCTTCAGACTCTCTGTGAGTTTAAAGAGCATTCGAAGAGCACATGTGTCCAGATGTTCATGCTTCTCTGGGCTCTTACTAAGTTGGAGTCATAATCTCCAACCTCTTCTGAGGTTCAGGCCTCTTTCAAAAACAGGGTTGATGCTCAAAAAGAATAAAGGTACTCCTTCTCCCTCCCAAGTACATTGGGAAGGAATTTCTCCCCAGTCTAGCTCAAATATTTGTACAAAGCCTCTGAGTCTGGGCTGAGTGGATGGAGAGAAGGGAACAGTCACAGGTTCCTGGGAAATAGGAGGCTCCGTCCTCTTAGAGGTGGTAGGATGGGGCTTTTGGAGGTCACTTGGTTCAGGGATAGCAAATGTGTGGTACAACGGCTGCCAATCCCTTTTTCCTTGCCCAGGGCAGACATAACTAATTGATCATGGCAATCTTTCCCACTGAATGAGTCTGGAGGCTACAGGCAGCTGCTTCCTACTGCTCATCCTTGGTCTATACAAACTCCTTATCGCACAGGCTCAGAAAGCAAGTGACTTGCTCATGTTCACACAGTTGGTTGGTGGCAGAGTGGAAACAGAACCCAGGACTCCCGAAGTCCAGCCTGAGGTTCTTCCTCTCTGCCCCCCACCGCCATTCCACAGGAGACTCAGGATGTTTAGACTTTTGCACACATTAAAAGGCCAGTGATCTGAGGCTGCTAGTACCCACTAGGGCTCAGAGCTGCAGCTGGATTCCAACCTAAGGCATTCAGGCCCAGGCAGGCCTGCAAAAGAAACCCTTAAGAGAGGGACATGAGTCAGTGTGGGAAAGAACTAACCACATTTAAGGCACTTCACTTAAATTTAGGAGGTCAGAAAAATATTTTTCAGAGGGGTGTGGCTTTAATTTTTTTCCTCTAAATCAGTACTAAATCCTCACTGTGAGCTCTGTCACCCTCTGGAGGCTGGATTTGTTGCCTTAGAAACAGGGTTCGTCCTCTTGAGGCAACACATGCAGTTCTAACAGCAGCCACTAGGTGGCGTAACTCAGAAAAGTACCTTATGAGGGTCCCGCAGGCTTGGGTTTAAGAGCCTTCTAAAGAATGCATTGCAACTTCCACATTTGAACAGGCTCTGTGACAAATAACTTTCTATTTAAAGCAATAGTATATTTGCCTAGGTCTCAATTACCTTTGCTTTCATATCAAATTAAAATAAAAATAGCATTCAGACAAAATATAAAGAAACACCCTTTGGGTATCCTCCACTCTCTTGGTCTCAGCTGTCCCTATATACCCGGCTGCAGCCTGTGTGTTGCCTCTGTACACACAGCGAGCAGTTTCTTTCCTATGAGGTTTATCTGCTATAGGATTGTTTTTCTGCCCCTCAGCATAGATTGGACCCCAAAGCACCATGGCCTATATGGTTACTAGATTGGATTCATGACCTCCAACCTCTTGGAGGTCTCAGAAGAGGTCATGTCTGATTAGGAAAAAAGATTTCTGAGTGCCCTCAGCACTCCCTCTGCGAAAGTCCCCATTCTGATTGAGGGCAGGTGGTCGGAAGGCCTGGGCTAGGGGCTAGAAAACAAAGTTGGCACTTGGTCCAGCCTCCATGAGTGGTGTGGCACTGGGCAGGTCCCTTAGCCTCTTGGACCTTCTCCTGCCTCATGTGTACAATGGGAGCACCGATGCCCACCTCACTAGGTTTTCATGAGGATTAGATGACGTCAGGTATGTAAAGCACCTGGGGCGTGCTCTCATTAAGTGTTAGTTCCTACCTAATCTTTTCCATGAAATGTAAAAATTATTATTCATATTAATCTCATAGCTTCCAGCTCCCTTCAAAGCTATTCTTAAAGAGGTTCTGCAATTTTTTTCCCTTTTGGATTTTATCGTGTTCAAACAGATGAGAAGTGTATAATAGGCTTTTGCTCAGCTGTTGAATGAATGAGTGAATTAATGATGCCCACAGACACTGCCTGTAGCAAACATTTAGATTGACATGAAATCTGAACTTATTTTCCAAGGAGGCTTAGACTGAGGGGCATTATTGTTGGGGTTTAACTCTGAATTCCCAGCAACTGTACATATAAATGCTAATTTCACTCAATTTTAGGTTGGAAATAAAGTATTAAAAAATAATCTACCTCTGGGAACCATTCATATTTGAGTAGGGACACTGAATGTTTATTATGTGTTAAATAAATGCCACATAGTATCTATTCTGAAACAAAAAAAGTAGAATGGCTTATGTAAAATTGGTTTGAGTATGCTCACACCCATTTAAAGTAAACTGAGTCAAAATTTGCTTTAGGAAGTATTTGAGATTATGTAACCTCTAGCTCTCTAGGGATCCTGGAGCGGGTAGCCCTGTGAACCAGGTGATCCTGCCCCTCTCCATCCCGGATCCCTTGGCCCCAGCAGATTGGACCAAAAGTGGAAAACTAACCCAAGGTGGACCAATCAGATTCCTTCCCTTGGGAATTTAGGACTGGGATGTGTGGGACTAGGCCTGAAAGACCCAAGACTTGGGGACTGAGGCTTTCATTTTGACAGCTTCCACGGGCCCTAAATGTCCAAGGAACGCAGTGGGCAGAGAGGCTGGTCTGCTAAGAGAAGGAAGCAGACATGGAGAGTGAAGGAGAGGCCAGAGACCATGCAGACCCGGGGAGGTAGTGTGCAGCGGTGCTGTACAACCTCACAAAGAATACAGCTGAGCGGCGCCTTGGGGTTGTGCAGAACTTCAACTGTGCTGGAGACAGTAGCTGCCTGGGATCCCAAGGACCATCTGGTCCCCAGCTCTATTTTCTTTTCCTGCTTCTGTGAGCTCCCTCTGTACCATTTATAAATTCCCTTTTTCTTGGACTCCTCTGAATGGGTTTCTATGCCTTTAGAGAAAATGATCCTCGACCCAGACAGTCCTGCAATATGTGAGCAGGGCTGTACACGACACACTCCAGGGGACTGTTCACAGACTTCCTATGTGAGTGGCACCTCATGGAGCACAGATCAGAAGAGAGGGCACAGGACTAGGGATCCATGAGCTCTGGGCTCAGGCCCATCTCTGCCTTGAAAGTGACCTTTAACCTGCCTGACCCCACAGTTCAGGGCTCCTCAAGCCTCCTGAGCTCACCTCTCTGGGCTGTTGGGACACTCCAAGGTATGTGGTGGGTGTGCTCTAAGAGTAAAGTCTGTGCCCTTGTTGGAGCTATCATGTCTCACCTGTTCAGGCCCTGGCAGTAGCCGATGGTGGGGTTCTGCCAGGAGAAGGCCAGCAGCACCCGGCGGAGCTTGTCAGGGAAGTTGGAGGTGGGACAGGTGAAGTGCTTGTTGTTGGGGAAGGTACGGTTCAGGTCCAGCTCGATCTGACGGGCAGCAGGGTGCTCACAGGCCTGGCCTCGGCTCAGCAGCTTCTGATAGTGGCCGGGGACCTGCAGGTGCTGCACGCGGAGGTGGACAAGCCACCTCCAGACACGTGGCCGGTGCTCTCGGGGCACGCCCGCTCGTAGCAGCTGCTTGAGCTCAGTCGAGGGCGCAAGCTCCCCCAAGGCAGCCCAGCGCTCTCGCAGTGGCCGCTCCTCATGGGCCAGCAGGTGGTGGGAACGGACCTCCAGCACCTGGATCTTGGCCAGCAACTTCAGGTCTTCTACCTCGTAGTCAGGCACCGTCAGGAAGCCATACTCGTCATACTCGCTGCCAGCAAAAGCCCATGTTAGCAACGTCTTGCAGGGCCCCTCCCTAGACAAGGGGCACTAGTGGGAGAGGTGGTGGACCCTAGGCAAGGGCTCACAACTCACAAGACCTGGTTCCTGCCCTGGCTCCACTGCAGGTTAGCCATGCAGCTCTGAGCAGGTCACTTCATTTCTGTGAACCTCAGTTTGCTCATGTGTATAATGGGGTATTAGAATTCCTGCTCTGCCTCATGAAGACCCAATAAGATTCTCTTTTGTAACCTGCTGGGGGCCTAGACAGTGTCTGGTAGATAGTGGGTGCTCATTCATTCTGTGTAAATACAAAGGATCCTTTTATGACTCCATGTGGCCTTAGGCCTAAGGAGTCCTGCACTGTGCATACAGAACCCCACTTGCCACAGCCAGGAAGCCCAAGGATGGGCAGAGAATAAACAGCAGCAATGACAAGCAGAGATGGGAGAGCTGGGGACCCATTCCAGATGGCCTTTCATTTAGTTGACACTTATTTGTCCCTAAGTGCCAGGCACGTGCAATCTCATCTAATCCTAATGATTCTGCAAAGCAGGGGTCAGAACCCACACCTTATGGTGGCTAAGAGGCTCAGAGAGGTAATGTGACTTGTCAGAGGTCATACAGTGAGAGCGGGGTCTTGCTCTAGAGTCTGGGCTCCTGCCACTGGGCACCCAGCCTCCAGAGGTCTTGCATCTCAGCCATAGCCCCTTCAGCTGTATCTAACTGCCTGTGTCCACTGTGCTCTGCCAGAGCTTGGCTCTAAGGAGGCAGCCACTTGTCTCTCCTGCCCCCTCTCTGATGAACACCTCTGGGAGGCAGCTGGGGCAGTGGAAAACACAGGCTCTGAAGTTAGACCATGTCCTGCCATACTAGTGTGCTGTGTGGTCTTGGGCAAGGAGCTGCCTCCTCTGAGCCTGCCCCTTCTCAGCTATATAACCAAGCTCCTGCTGGCCACACACCACATAAAGGCTTATCTGATCAGAGGAGTTAATGGGATGCAGTGCTGGGGAAGCAGGACCTCGAGGTCAAGCAGACGCACTGGCCCCCGCTTCTGAGCTCACCTGATGGGGCTCAGCCTGACGCTGTCAGCTGCAGACTCGCTGGCCTCCCACTGCAGCGCCTCCTGGATGAGCTGCCTCAGCAGCTCCGAGCACTTGCTGGCCTCATCCCCCATGGCCTCTTGCAGCCTCCGCAGCCCTGCCAGGTACTTGCTTTCCACCTGGCAGCTCTTGGCTTGGAGGTAGGCACACTGCAGGAGGGGAGGACAGGGCTGGTCAGGCCACCTGGTCGGGCTGGGGCTGCTCCAAAGGCCTGAGGCCTGAACAGTCCTTCCTCCAGCTCTCATCACCTACCCTCCCACCACCCCCAGACCTTCATATATGGGCAAGGAGATGGGCCCTAAACTTGAAGGGTTTATAGCAAGGCAGAAGGACTGCCAGCAAGAGAGGCCCAGGGCCTGGGCTGAGGCCAGGCTCAGAAGAAAGGGGGGTGGGGGATGGGGGGTAGGGACACACAGGGTCTTATATGACCTGCAGTCCCATCCTGATTCAGCCACCTGCTAACTGTGTGACCTGTGGCAAGGTACTTAACCTCTCTGTGTCGTAGCTTCCTCACTGGCAAAATGGGGATAATGCAGAGTCTACCTCAGGACTCTGGTGAGGATCAGATGAGCTAATGTGAGTAAAGCCCTTCACAGGGTGCTGGGCCCAGAGCATGGTCTCTGGGGGTGGTCTACTGAGCAGTGCTCAGGGATGGACACGTGGCTCTGGACACTGCCCTTGTGCCTTCTGCTGCCGCTCCAAGGGTTCTTTCTGCCTCCGACACTGCATCTCTCTCCCATCTTCATGCATACTCTCCCCTTGTCTAGAACACTCCCTGCCCGCTCCCCCTGGCCTTGGACTTTTGTGTTCTATTTACACAAACTGGGTGGTGCTGGGCAAGTCAGGGAACCTCTCTGGGCCTCGATTCCTTCTTTGTTAGATGGGGGCAGTAAAAATCTGCCTCCTAGTCTCACCCTGACCCCTGGGCTACCTGGCACCCATCACCCTGGGTGGCAGGAAGGGAGCCTCACAGCCGAGGCTGTGGTTCTGCAGCACCTCTGGCCAGGTCACCATCTGCAAACATTTAGTGAGCACCAACTGTGAGCCGGCCTCTGAGCCTCCTCTCCCAGCTGGTCCACCACACGCCCACCTTTGCTTCCCTCCATTGCCAGGGCTGCCTCCTGAGTGCTATTCCCAACACCCTCCTCAGAGACTCCTGCTACAGCTTGAACAATCTCCCTACTTCCAGTCCTACCTGTTCAAGTCCATCGTCCATGGGGCAGCCACAGCAGTTTTTTCAAAACATAAGTCCTACTGAGGACCTTCCCAGGCCTTATTGACACTCTGTTTGCCTGGATAACACTAACTAATCTTCAGGACTCAGCTCAGAAGGCACCTCTGCCAGGAAGTCTTCCCTGATTTCCCTTCCTTCCACTAGACCCCAAAGAATCCTATGTGCCCAATTCCCTCACTAGTCTGTGGCCTCCCAAGACAGGAACTGGGTTTATTCATCTCAATGTCCCTATGCCATAGCTACCCAGTGATGCTGCTGAACAGATGACTCAATCAGCTAGACCACAGGGGTTTGGAGAAGAATCTGACACAGGCCATGCTCATGAAGGGCTCAGTGCAGAGGAAGGTAGACGAACGAGGAGACAGACTGTGGCGTGTGGTGGTGCAGGACTCAATGGCTGGGCTCCCGCCTCTCACCTTCATCAGGAGGGCCTTCTCCTTCTCAGCCACCTTTCTCCAGATCTTTGTGACCTGATGGATCTCTGAGTTGAGGAAGCGGTTCTGGGTCCGGTATGCTTCCATGTCATCCTGGAGAGAAGGGAAGAAAAGCATTTTGTGAGTTGCACCATAAACATTTCCCTGGTCCCTCAAACGATCTGCCAACACTTCCTTTCTTTAGCAATTTCCAATAAGACAAAAGGAAGTCTGAAAAGAAAAAAAAAATTATCCATAACTCCCTTATCTAATCTTGATCCCAACGTAATGTGGCAGAGAGAGCGCTAGACTAGGAGTTTAGGTGCTGGTTCTGACATCCTGGCTGGCAGGCCTCAGGCAGGCCACTGCCCAACTCTGACCCTCAGTTTCCTCATCTCTAAAAGGGGCAAATACCAACTACCCCACTGGGTAGCTGGGAGACTAAATGAGGTTTAAGATGTGATAACATCAAGTACCGGAGCTAAAACACAGCAAGAGCTCAAGTAGTGTTTGTTTTTAAAACATCCTTGCAATCATACTGGACAATTTTGGGTGAAAATTTTTTTACTTAGTATTGCTTTGCAATTTAACTTTTCTATGTTATTACCTAAGCTTCCCAATGATCATTTTTATTGCCTGATGATTATTCCATTGGGTGACTATAGCATAATTTACTTATAATCTTTGTTTTGTTTTTTCTTACATATGATATTTTATTGTGTTTTTGGTGGAAGTTCACACAGCAATTAGGTCCCTATTTAACAACTTCTATACATATTGTTTCACCTCTTGTCTGTCTGTCATACTGTTGCTGTGATGCTGGAAGCTGTGCCACCAGTATCTCAAATACTAGCAGAGTCACTGATGGTGGACAGGTTTCAGCGGAGCTTCCAGACTAAGACTAGGAAGAAGGACCTGGCAGTCTACTTCTGAAAAAAATTGGCCAGTGAAAACCTTATGAATAGCAGCAGAACACTGTCTGATACAGTGCCAGAAGATGAGCCCCTCAGGTTGGAAGGCACTCAAAAGATGACTAGAGAAGAGCTGCCTCCTCAAAGTAGGGAAAAAAAAAACAAAAAAAACCACAACCCAAATCCACTGCTGTTGTGTCAATTCCAACTTATAGTGACCCTATAGGACAGAGGAGAACTGCCCTGTAGGGTTTCCAAGGAGCGGCTAGTGGATTTGAACTGTCGACATTTTGGTGAGCAGCTGAGCTCTTAACCACTGTGCCACCAGTGCTCCCTTCAAAGTAGAGTTGACCTTAATGATGTGGATGGAGTAAAGCTTTTGGGGCCTTTGTTTGCTGATGCGGCGTGACTCAAAATAAGAAGAAACAGCTGCAAACGTTCATTAATAATCAGAATGTGGAATGTACAAAGTATGAATCTAGGAAAATTGGAAGTTGTCGAAAATGAAATGGAATGCATAAAGATTGATATCCTAGGCATTAGTGAGCTAAAATGGACTGGTATTTGCCATTTTGAATCAGACAATCACATGGTCTGCCATGCTGGGAATGACAAATTGAAGAGGAATGGTGTTGCATTCATCATCAAAAAGATCATTTCAAGACCCATCCTAAGGTACAACGCTGCCTTACAAGGAAAACCAGTTAATATGACTATTATTCAAATTTACACACCAACTGCTAAGGCCAAAGATGAAGAAACTGAAGATTTTTACCAATTTCTGTAATCTGAAATTGATCAAACATGCAATCAAGATGCATTGATAATTACTTGTGATTGGAATGCAAAAGTTGGAAACAAAGAAGAATGATCAGTAATTGGAAAATATGGCCTTGGTGTTAGAAACAACACCAGAAATCGTGTGATAGAATTTTACAAGACCACCGACTTATTCATTGCAAATATCTTTCTTCAACAACATAAACAGCGACTATACACGTGGACCTCGCCGGACGGAATACACAGGAATCAAATTAACTACATCTCTGGAAAGAGACGATGGAGAAGCTCAGTATCATCAGTCAAAACAAGGCCAGGGGCCAACTGCGAAACAGACCATCAATTGCTCACATGCAAGTTCAAGTTGAAGCTGAAGAAAATTAAAACAAGTCCACGAGAGCCAAAATACAACAATGAGTATATCCCACCTGAATTTGGAGGCCATCTCAAAATAGATTTAAAGCACTGAACACTAAGAGCAGATGAGTTGTGGGATGACATCAAGGACATCATACAGGAAGAAAGCAAAAGGTCATTAAAAAGACAGGAAGAAAGAAAAGACCAAAATGGATGTCAGAAGAGGCTCTGAAACTTGCTCTTGAACACACAGTAGCTAAAGTGAAGGGAAAAAATGATGAAGTAAAAGAGCTGTATGGAAGATTTCAAAGGGTGGCTCAAGAAGACAAGGGAAAGTATTAAAATGAAATGTGCAAAGATCTGGAATTAGAAAACCAAAATGGAAGAACATGCTTATCATTTCTCAAGCTGAAAGAACTGAAGAAAAAATCCAAGCCTTGAGTTGCAATCTTGAAGGATACTATGGACAAACTATTGGATGATGCAGGAAGCATCAAAAGAAGATGGAAGAAATACACAGAGTCACTGTATCAAAAATAATTGATCAATGTTCAACCATTTTAGGAGGCAGCATATGATCAAGAATCAATGGTATTGAAGTAAGTCATCCAAGCTGCACTGAAGGCATTGGCGAAAAACAAGGTTCCAGGAATTGACAGAATACCAATAGAGATATTTCAATGAACAGATGCAGTGCTGAAGGTGCTTACTAGTCTATGCCAGGAAATTTGGAAGACAGCTACCTGGCCAACCGACTGGAAGAGATCCATATTTGCGCCCATTCCAAAGAAACGTGATCCAACAGAATGCAGAAATTATAGAACAATATCACTAATATTACACACAAGTAAAATTTTGCTGAAGATCATTCAAAAACAGTTATAGCACTACATCTACAAAGAACTGCCAGAAATTCAAGCTGGATTCAGAAGAGGACATGGAATGAGGGATATTATTGCTGATGTCAGATGGATCTTGGCTGAAAGCAGAGAATACCAGAAAGATGTCTACCTGTGTTTTCTTGACTACGCAAAGACATTTGACTATGTGGATCATAACAAATTATGGATAACATAGTGAAGAATGGGAATTCTAGAACACTTAATTGTGCTCATGAGGAACCTGTACATAGACCAGGAGGCAGTCGTTTGAACAGAACAAGGGGATACTGCATGGTTTAAAATCAGGCAAGGTGTGCATCAGTGTTGTATCCTTTCACCATACGTATTCAATCTGTATGCCGAGCAAATAATCTGAGAAGCTGGACTATATGAAGAAGAATGTGGCATCAGGATTGGAGGAAGACTCATTAACAACCTGCGTTATGCAGATGACACAACCTTGCTTGCTGAAAGTGAAGAGGACTTGAAGCACTTACTGATGAAGATCAAAGACCACAGCCTTCAGTATAGATTATACCTCAACATAAAGAAAACAAACATCCTCACAACTGGACCAATAAGCAACATCATGATAAATGGAGAAAAGATTGAAGTTGTCAAGGATTTCATTTTACTTGGATCCACAATCAACACCCATGGAAGCAACAGTCAAGAAATCAAAGGACGTATTGCACTGGGCAAATGTGCTGCAAAAGACCTCTTTAAAGTATTGAAAAGCAAAGCTGTCACTTTGAGGACTAAGGTGTGCCTGACTCAAGCCATGGTATTTTCAATCCATGAGAAAGCTGGACAATGAATAAGGAAGACCAAAGAAGAATTGATGCTTTTGAATTACAGTGTTGGTGAAGAATATTGAATATACCATGGACTGTCAGAAGAATGAAAAAGTCTGTCTTGAAAGAAGTACAGCCAGAGTGCTCCTTGGAAGCGAGGATGGTAAGACTTCGTCTCACGTGGTTTGGACATATTATCAGGGGGGACCAGTCCCTGGAGAAGGACATCATGCTTGGTAAGGTAGAGGGTCAGTGAAAAAGAAGAAGACCATCGATGAGATGGATTGACACAGTGGCTGCAACAATGGGCTCAGACACAGCAACGAATGTGAGGATGGCGCAGGACCAGGCAGTGTTTTGTTCTGTTGTACATAGGGTTGCTATGAGTCAGAACCAACTTGGCAGCACCTAACAACAACATACATATTGTTCAGTGACATTGGTTACATTTTTCACAATGTTTCAGCATTCTCATTATTTCCATTTTGCTTGTTCTGTTTCCGTTAACCTAGCTCCACTGTACCTACCTTACCTTCTCATGTTTGCTTTGGGGTAAATGTTGACCATTTGGTTTCATACAGATGTTTTTTGATTTCAGCCCTGGATATTTTTGGTTTGTTTTTGATTGTAAATAATGTTGTGACGAACATCGCTGAGCCTAGAGTTTTCCATTTGCAAGCTGTACAGTGGAGGGAGTGAGACCCCTGCTGCTGCGGCATACAAGGAAAAGCGGCACAAGCACTTGGGAGGTTCAAGCTATAATCTGAGCTTCAGAAAAGGGCTGGCTATATAAATGGTTCTCACCGGACATTACTTAGCCATTCAAACATGCAACACATGTTCACGGCTATAATAAGCAATTCCAGGGTATTTACTAGTTGAAACTCAACTCCTTTCTCTTGCACTCAAGAAAATGTATTGGGCTGTATGTGAGTGTGGCAGATGCCATTGCAGGGATGGCCTTGAATAGGCTCTGATTTATCTGGAAATAAAGAATATCACTTGAGCCTGTAGCACTTCATCATCAGGTCACATGGGCACAGCTTCCTGGGTGGGTATTCACTCTGGTCGAGATGATCTCCAAGGGCCCTCCCAGCCCAGGGTCTGCTGCCCTCCACCTAGACAGCTGACACTCCGGAGGGCCCCAGGACCCAGGGCTCCTGCAGCTGGATATACACATCCCGAGCTGACTTCATCATGCGGCCTCTCACCATTCCACTGGGGCTCTACGTGGCACCCCCCACTCCAACCCCACCCTGCTTCTGTCTCCTCGACTGTGTCTAGGCTGGAAGGCTGTCCTCAAGCTAAGCCTGCTCTCTGCAGGCCCCTATTCCAGCCTCCTGGCCAGAACCCAGAGAGTTCCCAGCCGTGTCGTCGTCCTCTCCTTCCTC